ATCACGAATCGAAAGTTAGTCGCAATACGAAATGGAAAATGCTTCAAAGTATGAAAAAATAATTTGTTGAAATAACTCGACTACAATAGTGCTATTTATCGAGACTCGTCCTACACAGTTTGAAAGTTTGAAACACTAAATTTCGAAAGATCGTCAGTGGACCATTTGAAAATGACCACATCGAAATGACGACTAAAACCTCTTGAATTTTTAACATCATCATTTGTATAACATTTGTAAAGGTCAAGGCTATTGGAGATTGTAACTTTTATTTTCATTTTTTAGTTAAAACGGATAAAAAATTATCATAGATATTTACGATAATTCGAAAAAACATGTTTCCAACAAAAGTTACTTTTCTTCGACGTAGCGTCATTATAGGGGATTCCCTTTGAAGAAAACGAAAGTTACCCAATTTTCGCCGAATGCAGCGCCATCTATCAGAAATAGAAAAAAAAGTTCAGACAAAAGTTACGTGTTTTTGGATGTAGAATCCGAATCTATAATAAAAAGTAGGGGTTCCCATTTAAGATTTCAAAGTTATCCCCCGCCCCATCCCCAGGGGGGGCGGGAGGTGGATAATTTTTGTGGGATTGAATTGCGCCCTCGAAACTATTGAGGGTTTATCTGGGACATTTTTATCGTACAATGCTCATTTTTCGAGATATTTAGCAGTCTCAAGTTAAAAAAAACACCCTGTATATATATATATATATATATATATATATATATATATATACAGGGTGAGGAAAAAGTATGGAAATTCTGAAAAATCTCAAAAAATATAAGTTTTATAAAAAAATGTTTCAAATGAAAGTTGTAGGATTCAAAAAGGTCTATTCAATAGTCTTATCAGTTTGACCCTGGCTGACGTCATTAAGATAAAGTCAAAGTCATCTTGAATTTTTTAAATAGAACACCCCTTATATTATTACATATTCTTATAGTTTATCTCGAGAACTTTCCAAAACACTATAATAAAATATTTTTTCGTAAAGAACTTTTCGAGTAATAACGCTTGAAATTTCCAGCACTTTGACATAGAATACAAAATATCTCGTAAAATATTCATCTTTCGATTATCTTGCCTTAATGCTTTTTTGCATAGAATAATGAGACAAATTAATTGGCTTAAAAAAACAAAAAATTTTTTACATAATAAATATAACAAAATTTTTTGTGCTTTTTTTAAGCTAGTTAATTTGTCTGATTATTCTATGCAAAAAAGCATTAAGGTAAGATAATTGAAACTTTTTCCTCACCCTTTATATATATATATATATATATATATATATATATATATATATATGCTTATTCATTTTGCACGTGGCCTATGCATTCCTTCATTTGAATAACGATGTTATCATACGGTTTAAAATCGACAATACAGTGTACCGGCGAACAATGGGAAAAAACTTCGAATCTTATTGTTCAAAATTGTTTAGAGAAATAAAATCTCAATTAATTTTAATAATTCTTGTTCGTGTTTACTCGGAAAGACATTAGCAACAAAACTATGTTCGTGAAATTTCAAAATTTTTTAATTTAATAATTTAAAATTATTAAATTAAAAAATTTTCAAATTCCGCGAACATAGTTTTGTTGCTAATGTTTTCCCGAGTAAGTACGAACAAGAATCATTAAAATTGGTTGAGATTCCGTTTTTCTAGACAATTTTGAACAGTAGGAGTCACTGTTTTCCCCATTGTGCGGCAGCGTGAAGACGCCGAGTACACGCTGACATGATACTGTGCACCGGTCGATATAATCGACTGTACCTTTGTTAATATTTGGAATATCACTTTCGGACCAAAAACTTTATATTCTTAAAACCTTAAGTTATCTATTTAAGCAAGAAAAGACATTTTTCGATATTTGGAAGGGCTCAGAGTGGACTAACCCCTTAATAAATAAAAAGGACATATGAACATATGAAAAATAATTAATTTCAAGTGTAAAATATACTTAATATTTAATATTTATCTTTGTTCCTAATAATTCTTCTACTGAGCGCCTTAGTTTATACTAACTTTCGTCTTTCCTTTCTTTTTCACTTACTTTTCCCAGCATTATATCCTTTTCTTTTTGATAACCGAGGGAAAATTCTACATAGAATACTTCCCCCCTCTGGGAAGGAAAAGAAACATGCCGGATTCTTATCAACTAAAGAATTCTCGGGGTGTCCCATCTTCGACCTTTTTGGGTAACACCTCGGGTATCGCTTCCACATTCCTTCCGGGGCGCCCCGCCCCCCCCCCCCATCGCAGCCAAGGTTCCCTACGCTAGGAGAATGTGAGGGGGGGAACGACGACTAACCGCTCCAGATAGTCCTTACAGAGGGCTGATTACCACGCGGCAAGGAAGACACCACTCCCGTCGCGCCACCCCGGTGGGGAATCGGAACGCAGCCCCGGTTCGCATGTGAGGGCAGTTTCCCCCACCTAGTTACGTAGTTGGTGGAGTTCCGTCCATAAATTTGTGCTCACCGAGTATTTAAAAGAGAGTCTACTCACCTAGTCTTGACGTGACAGCAGGTCAGAAGTGCCGTGAACAAACAGACAACTCAATTCTTGAAGTATATCAGAATCACATCCATTTAAGTAAGACAAACTCTACATTACAGCAACAAAGCCTCGAGTGCAATCTCCTTTTCTTACTACAATTGGCCACTCACTGCTCTGAGATCAGAGTTGCTTCAAAGAGCCGAAGTTCTTTGTTTATTTATTGTTAAGGGGGTATTCTAGTGTAAAGGCCTATTTTCAAGGCGATTTTTGAAAATTAACTTAAAGCAAATGGTTAAACCTATAGCGTAAATGTTTTGTACTAACATTTTATTATCTTTAAAAAAACATCTCAAATTTTGTTAAAGTTTTTTATTAAAAATTGAAGAAAATATAAGTGAACAAAACAGATCACGCGGTAAAATCGTTTTCCATTGGGCGAATTGATTGCCGTTATCATCGTCATCTGAAATAAACGAATTTGCTTTTATTTTGTTCTTTATGAATGTGGTTATCATCCGAACTACAAATAATTATGAATGTGGCTATCATCCGAACTGAAATAATTACAGCTATCGAAAGCACCATAGCTCGTTTCAAAATCGATTTTGCAGTTGGCGGCATCTCCTTGTAAGATGTGCAAAAGAACTTCGGATCTTCAATTAAACTCTGATCTCAAAGCAATTAAGGAGGTATTCTAGTATAACGGATCAAAAAACTCGATTTTTCTTTTTTTGCATATTTTTATAGTTTGGAGTCTTGAAAATATTCGTTAAATCGACCGACCTATAAAGAATCATTTTAATAAATTTCATCTTAATATCTTTATTTATTGATATTTATTGAATATACTGAATATTTATTGAATATATTGAATAGGATATTCGTAGAATATACTAAGCTCATGAGAGATGTTTTATTAAATTATCGAATGTTGTAAGTACATCTTCAAAGTAATCCCTTACGGAAAAGTAATACTGGAGCTCAGTATAATCGAATTTAGTAGTACTTTGAGTATCTTATGTCAGTATATTTAAGTACAGGAAAGTACTGAGATTTAAATATTCAAACTACTACTAAATTCGACCATAATGAGCTTCAGTACTATTTTTTTGTAAGGCATATGGCAGTGATTTGGAGGAATAAAGAAAGAAAAGGGAGAGAGAAGTAATACAAACGTTTAGTTATAGAAAATAAATGTACAATGCATAGATTATATTTTGAACATTTTGAAACATTTGTAAGATTGGCTGGACTACATTTATGGCAGTCAACCAATTTACTGTTTTATAGTAACTGTTTTATAATAACAGGGAAAATTTTATAAAGTATTTGGTCTGTTCCTTCTACCGGAACTTATTGCACTACTTCAAACAATATGCATACATATTGAAGCGTACATACATAGAAGATTCTTAAGCTTTAATGTGCGTACATTTATTGAACTAGTGTTACCAATTCAGTTGGAAATAACAGATTTGTGCTTTTTTCCAGAGCTATACGCTCATTGCATATCAAAGTCCGTCTACACAAGACGTAGGATACAGAACACACACGCGACGTACGACATGCAATGAGCGTATTACTATTCTGTGGTAAAGCTATATCTTGAATATTAATATATACCTACTTGATATATTGTTGTGTCCGCGTTACCGGAGATGCATCGATTTCGATGATTCCGGTTTAGAGAGATAAGCGAAGGGGCACGGTTAACAACGAGGAGTAAACAACAGCTGACGAAAAGTTAACAGCGAGCTGTAGTCGCAAGCGGACGTGTGTCGGTTGAATAGATATTGAGCTTGTTAAATTATATGCTGCTGTAAATAGTAAAACTTCTTGTTCTTTTACAAAGCGAGTTTGTTCATTTCTCTCGTATGCGATCGCGAGTGCAAGCGCCAGCGCAACAATATATTCTACCATACATAAAATTTACTATTAATGTACTCTAAATATTCTTTGAATATACTTGTAGTATATTATGGGATATTTTCAGTATGTACTAAAGAAGTCGAGACATACGAATGTTCTTAGTGCATTCTTAATAGAACATAGTATTTATCTTGAACATTCAGGGGATATACACAATCTATTTTTATGATATTCTCCGAATATTCTTAGGATTTACCTGTACTGTTAGGGTTCTTTGTTAGTTTTTTTTTTATAATTCTGAAATCAAAATTGAACAGAAACAGAAGCACATCAAAATTGATTATAACATATTTATTTTTAACATGTTGATCCAGGTTAGATTAAATTATAGTAAATCAATAAATAAAGAATAAAGGAAATATTTTGAGAGAAATCCCTGCACCTTTCAACGTCTACTCCTATAGAAAAGATCCATTTTACACAAGTTGTATACTAAAATTAAACTAAGTTTACAAATGTTTCGAAATGTTCAAAATATAATGCATTGTACATTTATTTTCTATAACTAAATTTTATACTAAAACAATCGTGTATTTTTAAGCCGCGCAGTTTCGTGTAATGCAGTACATTTCTCTCATAGATACATCGCTGCAACAGGTAAAGGCTCTCTTCAAAAAGAAAAAAAGACCATAATAAGGGAAGGAGATATCATTGTCGTCGTTGTCGTTATCGTCGCCGGGAACCGTCGCAACAAGGATGGGAAAATACGCTGCAGGGGCGAGGCCTCGATTACTTCTCGGTCTACCGTTTCTAGCCTGCGTGCTGCTCTACGGAACTCTCGGTAAGTGAAAAATATCTTTCTCGAGGTTATCTATACGCGCGTTCGTCGCGACGAGATGTCTGTGTTCTTCGGTGTACTTAAATCTGAATATGGCGCGTATGTGCTCGCGTGTTAGTGCACCGGCTTCAGATTGACAGAGGGAGGGGGGATGTGAGAATGTGGGGGAGGAAAGTTTTTATACTTAGGCTTCAAGCTATGTTTGTTGAAACGAACCTTCTTATCTATCTACCTACCTACTTAGGAAACACTCGAAACGCGCAAAACTGAGTTCGTGCTTGTGTGTGAATAGAATGTATAATTAATGTATGTTTAGAGTAGTAGTGTGTGTTTAGAGTTTCTAAAATTTACTGGAAACTCTTTGTATGCATTGAATCAAAACTTAAGTCCCCGTTCTGCGTGTGTGCGCATAGCGTTATTCGATACAACTATTTTTTATCTTACATGACTGCTTTCTTTCTTTCTTTCTTTATTCCTTTTGTATCCCTAAATTTTATCAAAATTCCTAATAGGATAATAGAACTTGCATGATATTAGATTCCGAAATTTTTCATTAGTTCTTCAAGTTTGACATCGTCTTCAGGGCCAACGTAGAACCAAAATTTCGCCTTAACTATAATCTCTTTTGTTTGACCGAGGATAGAGTGTGAGGGATATTACAAAGAGAGAGAGAGAGAGAGAGAGAGAGAGAGAGAGAGAGAGCTAGTCGATAATTCGTTTCAAGTTTCCCATTATCAAAGGAACTCGTGGCACATAGACACCATCGGTTGTGACACATCCGTAACCATTAACATTTCCAGCCGTTTTAAAAGGAGATAAAGTAAGGTCTACGTTTACCCAATTTGATACATATTAGATATATTATCACAAATATGTGAGTGCTCTTCACTCAGAAGTATCTGACACGACGTGTCGATATGAGTTATTTACGAGAAGAGAAATGATTGTATATCTCCAGTTCTTCTTACGTAAATATATAGAACGAACAAAAATGTTAGATAACAAAGAGTTCGGATAATCGGAACTCTAGTGTTATGCATGATACTTAGCCAGGGCCTATCCTTATCAATATTTGAACTATAATTGGACTGCGCAAAGATGAATTAACATTTCATAGAACGCGATTGTATTACCGGCGGATATTATCATTATTCTGAAATTATATCAGATAAATGTCCCAGTTAATGACAGTGTCCTACTTAGTGACACTTTGAAAATATTTTACATTACAAAATCTCAGTTTGACTTCATACCTCAATAATATTTTAAAATATTCTTCATACCTCAATAATATTTTAAAATATTCTGCTAGTCATTTATTATTTTTTGTAATAGTCTCATTGCAAAGTCTATCATAATTCAAATACCTCATAATTATAATATGAAGTATATTAACCTGTAAGCTTTATCATATGTTTCATGGCTGACCGTTTATAAGATAATGTGAATGACGAGCGTGATCAATTAATTTTTAATATTAATATTAATAACTTTGAGCATTCATGTTGGTTTGATGTATTAGGATAACTTTAAATAAATTATTAAAGATTATTGTGAACTGATAAGGAAATGAGTATGCTAGTAGGTTAATATTTTTGATTAAAATCTGGCTGTCACTAATTAATACACAAGAAGATAATGTCCCAACCACTGACAGGCCAGTATAAAATAATGTAAAGAATGTTAATTCTGTATTTTTTGGATGTATATGTAAAAATTCCTGGAGTTATTTTTATAGTTTTTTATTGATAAATACGTTCAAGTGCGTTTAACTTTTCTACAATGTAATATTTACGTTGACAAAACCTGACAAGGAAGAAATCAGGAATACAGGAATGACAACCGTCATTCTTTTGTATTATTCTTTTGTATCAATTATTGACATATTTTACTTATGTTTCTAGAATATTTGAAAATATTAATGCAAACTTATAGACATCAAATACAATCTAACAAATTAATTGGAATAAAAACAGTCAGACTTATTTCATTCAAAAAAAAGCTAAATAAAAAGCGATAATGGAACCTTCTCTCTATTTGGAACAAGTATATCACATAGTACCCGTTAATAACAGGGAACGTGTGTACACTGTCCCAGTCAGTGATACGATCTTTGACGAGTTATTAATTGAGACAACTTAAAACCGAAAGTGTCGTTAACTAAGACATATACATTGATTTCAATTTTTCAATTAAATTACTAAAAAAGTACGTTTGTATGTCAGAAATATATGTCTATAGCATAAATAAAAGTTCTATTTTTCACTTACAAGTAACAGATTTTTCATTAAAAATGACATAGTCATTTAATTTCGTGTTCACTTTTATGAAAAGTTAAGTATGTCACTAACTGGGACATTTACCTTAGGGATAAACGTTTACCTTTACCAGCTTCAAATGATTTCCGAATAACCTTGATGTTGACTTTGACCTTCAAGAAGGTCAATGCTATTGACCTTTATCGGTGGCCATTGTTCGTAAAAAAGTTATTAATAAAAACAGTTTTAGAAATTGAACGTAATTTTTGCACAGTATATATAGAAATATGGTAAACAGTACACGTACACGAGATATTAATGAAAACGATGCGACGGTAAAGAAAAATATTCAATTTTTACTTAAAAATTCTACATTAAAGTATGGATTGCAAAAAAATATGTAAATTATCGCAAAAATCATATGAATTTATTTAGACAATTCAATTGACAATAACTGTGCAAAAGTTGAAAGCATTTGGATTAAAATTATAAAAGTTCTGGTATCCACCAATTTTGAAAACGTCATTCTGAGAAAAATGCGTTTAAAGTTTCAAGTAAGGTTTCCTTGTTTATAAAATAATAATTTCGAGATTACCCTTTAGTTAGCAATATCAGGGTCATACAATAAGCCTTCTGCATCTACAGCATCCTCCTCGGCTTAATGACGAAGCGATTTTGCTACCGAAATAACTTCTTTCGCAACGTCTGACATCCTATTTTCGACAATGAAAAACCCCAGCACGAGTATTGTTCAGCCGGGAAAAACTCATGGTGCTCGTGGCAACAAGCCAAAGTCATCGATATCCCTCCGGAGTATCAACACAAACAACCCGTCTCAGAAGACGTATTCAATGACATCAAACCAGTTTATAAGACTATTTTTTCTTTATGTTACAGCGACTGCAAGGAGATTGAAGAACTCGATATGCTACTTTTCGGACAGGGACGAACTGGTGAGTGCTTCTCAATTAGTTCTTGATTCGATTTCTCATCCATCTCCCATCGCCGCGCCATCCCATTTACATTCCCTTCCTTCTGCCTTAGACATCAAGCCCGATTTTTTTTACCATCCCTAGTTTATGAGGATCCCAGAATAATCCTCGCATAAACCACCTTTCCAGCACTTAGATGATGAATTTGTCCCTCTCTCCCTCTCTCTCTCTCTCTCTCTCTCTCTCTCTCTCTCTCTCTCTCTCTCGCTTCTTTCTTTCCACGTCGCGCGAGCAGTTAAATATTTACCATGCCCGTCAGCAGCCGGTGTCTACATGACATCCGTGAACGAGCCTGAATTTGCCGCCACTCGTTATGAGGAAGGGGAGATGGGCTTGCGACGAGAACCGAAAATATCGTCGCGTACTCTTTCCCTTCACTTTCACCTTCACCACGTCCCCACAACCTTTCTAATCGAATCTTCAATTGATTGAACCGATCGCGCAGCGTTAGCTATGTATGTTCGCACTCTTCTGCTAACTATAATTCTCTGCACGCGCGAATTTTTCGTCCGTTCCTTTTATTTCCTCCGCATCGCATATTAACCCTAGGTATATACACTGGGATCTGCGAGACCCCAGACAAAGTTTGAAATTCTAGTATTAGTAGAGAGAATAGGCAAGGAGGATACGATCGTCGTGTAAAAAAAAATGTGAAGTCTCCTCTGTAAATAGTAACTATCGGAGCAATCAATTATTTATCGGTTTTGTGGTAATTCACCTAAAGTAAGCTCGGGGTCTCCCAGACTCCAATGTGTACTTTGTGCAACGTTTTTTGCAAGTAAGTATATTTTGTAATTAATTTTATTCGAATTCATAATGTAAATATATATTCTAAAAAATGTTGGATTGAATAAGTAATTTAAAAAAAAACTAATTTTTATTGGAAAACAGAAACACACGGACTAAACGACCAAAATGATACTGCCTTGTTGAGTGAATATTATTTGCCGCTTTTAAATTATTGAGGTTTTTTTTCTGTTTCTGTTTCTATTACATGCATTACAAGTTATTGAGTTTGTATTTTTTAACAAAAATTCTAACTCTTATACCTGTCTGCAAAACCGCCAGAAAATAGAAATATGAAAAATCGTCAATCTTGGAACCTTATAATTTTCATAATAATATTCCAATATTTAGACGATGATTTTTTTTCTTTGTACCTTGAAATATGCCCTTGTACCTTTCAAAATCTGAAAACTTTTTTCAGTTATCTCTACTACCAAAAAAGATATGCATTTTTCAAGCTATTACGGTAAAATGACATTTCCTTTGCATTTATGAGTATTTCTAATGTTTCAACACGTCTTTATTATGTGATACTTATTATGATTTAATCCTAATTCTTAATAAATATATGTATTTATTAGTCTATTAATAATGGAAAAAAAAGTCAAAATACGGTGATTCTTACCGAAGTTATAATAAAAAAGTAGTTGGGGTCCTTCAGATCCCAGTATTTCGCATCTACGTATGCGAAAAATAAATGTGTATATCTAGGGTTAAATCATGCATGTAGTAATGAAAACACGAGGCCAAGTAACGTCGAGGAGCGACGTGTTCACTGCGGCCACTGTCATGCATAAATAATCCGTCTCGTAGATCATAGATATCTCGTAGACATAGTATACATGAACTCCGAATGCCCTACGTTCTAATAGAGTGAAGCCAACATCTAGAAAAAGAGCGAGAATAGAGGGGCTATAGTTTTCTTTCTATTTTGTCACTTTTTTGTTGTGCGTGCATTACTCGTTTCCATAATATTATAGAGCGCAACAACACACCGACTAGACTGGCAAGTAAAAGTCTTAAATCTTACTGCACACTTTGTCTGTGCAGAAAGAGACAGAGAACAGAGGGGCGGTACATATTGGCTTCTCTTTTCTGACTGTATGCGAAGTCTATGTATATTATGTCTATGATCTCTTTCTACATGTTGGCTTCACTTTTCTGGCTGTATACGGGATCCATGTATACTACATCCATGTCATAGACGAGATCACTATACGCGAAATCACACGTGATTCGATGTATAGGTCGTTGTATGCGCCGTACATTCTCAACGACGCACAGTAGGATCAAAGCCTCGTTTGAGCGGACAAAACTTCTTCTTCGTCATATTCACGCTACTCTTCACTATCAAATAAGGTTTCAATGAATTTGTAATGCATCTCAAAATACTTTTCATCATTTAAACAATCTTAGCAACAATCTTAGTAACTTGCAGAAGAAAGGATTACTCAATATACAGATGTATGAAAAAGGTTTATACTGTAGTTGAAATTGTTTTCTTTTTGAATATGCGTATTTAAAATTATCATATCGTATTTCAAATTATTATTTTCAGTAAGTTTCATATTTTTTCAACAGTTTTGAGCTGAAAAAAATGTACAATAAGATATTATGTATAATAAGATATTTTTTAAAAAACTGACGAAACATATTGAGTTAAATGTAGTATAACATTCGATTATGAAAAAAAGTACCCAATACACATCGAATAACAGTAACATTATATCAATTATTGTAATTTTTTATTCAACGACATAAATGTTATAAGCTGAGCGCCACGTGTTTCTATAGAGAAAAACACATTTTTCTCAAAATGGAGCAAATATGAGCACAAGTGCTTTTACGTGGATACTCTTAGCTTATAATTCATGAAAAAAACTGAACGGGATCTCGTAGGGTTTTTTGTAGCTCTCCGAGAAGTTTATTATTTTAATACATACATCATAAGTACAGAAAAAAATTATTATTCCTTATATCTATTTAATAATTTTAATTATGTCACAATATTTCTAAAATAAAAAGGTTCAAAAAAACTAAAAAATATTACAATTTATCTATTTTTAACGTTTTCTAGGATCAGGAGACTAACATATTATTAATACGATTCATAAAACGTTTCAAAGTCTCTCACAATCACAAACATTACGCCTGGTTTTCTCAATATTCTAATTATTTGATGATTTATTGAATAACATGTGTTTTCATATATTTTGGATACTTCTCTATAATACTACAATAATTAGAAACTCTGGCAACAACTTTTACTTTTAAGGTTTTGTCCATTCAAACGGCGCTTTGTGCGGCGGAACACTTCACGGGGAGAAGTGCTTTGTCAGCAGTCCCTGAGGCTCGCTTACGAATCGCTCATAAATTGTTGACGTTACGCCGAAGTTCGCTCGCAGCGGAGCGTGGAATATTTAAAAACGCAAATTGCACACGGCGAGGTGACGACTAGACCTTGTGTATATATATATATATATGTACGTGTGTGTGTGTGTGTGTGTGTATCGACGCAAAAACGAAAGTATGTTCTGATTATTATACAAAAGTACAATATATATATATATATATATATATATATATATATATATAGGGTGTTCGGTAATTTTCATCAGAGTTGCGGTATAAAGATAGATTAGGTTAAAATGAGCAAAAAGTTTTGCGAAGAACTACACTCTAAGATTAGGTAAAACTAAATAAAAAATCCTCTATTATTTGGAAATAACCATATAGGTTTTTAATTAAAGGACATTAATATATTATCAATGGTGGGGGGGGGGCGCGATTATCTGCCAATCTTCTTTAATGAATAACTCAAAACTCCACGTATTCTTTGTAAAGTAGCAGAAAACCTTTTTGTTCAGTTTAACTTGACTTTAAAGGCCGGCAAGCGTTGCTATCACTAGTCTCATCTGCTATCGCACATAATCGTTCGCCAATTTTCTTTAATTAAATTACTTAAAATTTAACATGATTCTTCGAGAGATGGCAGAGGAATTTTTTGTTCAATTTGACGTAATCTATCTGTATACACTACGGCTCTGAGTTACCTTCCAAGAGATGCCTTATACAAAGAGAGGGAGAAGCGGGTCCATATATCATTCCGATATTCGTCAGACGCGACACTCCGGCAAGTGGCATTCGAACAAGATTTCGAGTTGCTTCGAGTTGCTGTTTTGTTAAGACCTATAATTGAACAGCGATGTTATTTGAGACTTAACTACCTGTACGCGAGTCTCTTCCGCCCCCCCCCCTTCCTCCCCCCTAACGGATGCGAAATTTAAGTTTCACGCGGTAACAGCAACAGTCGAGACTATAATATACTAATCCGTGCTTCAACGCGGTGCACCGTTCGTATTCTGTCGACATTTCACTCAGTGAGAAATGATTCGTCGATCAACGTCGTTTCAACGTCGATCGATGAGTCATTTCTCACTGGTTCAGCGATTAATCTCACCGACAGCTGTGACGATCTGTCGGCGAAAACCCTTTTCATTAATTGAATGTTATTACCACGTTATAACGGCCGTCGCTCCGGAGCGAAGTGCCAAGTTTATCGATTAATCCTCAAGATATCTTTCGCTCGCTATCTTTTCCTCCCGAGCCGAGTAACATTCTCGCTAATCGTCCATTTCTCTTACGCTTTCAGTTCATTCACAACCACAGGCCGGTGTTCACTAATTGCGCGAAATACGCGCCATTGGTGGAGGAGGGAGCGCAGATCGGCACCTATGTATTTCAGGTGCACGCCGAGGACCCGGACCCGCCGGAAAATGGAGGTATCGTATCACCAACCACAAATTCCGCTCTAAGTCCACTTAAACCGTTCCAAGTTCTGATGAAACCAGAAATCTATTAACTCGAACAAAATCTTGGTAACTTCAACCGGACTTTTCTGGCCCATTCATATTTCACCAGACACTCGGTTAATTCACAAGCAAATTTTCTTTCCCATGTACAAATTATTTGTGAAACTTCCTTGCGAAGCATGTGTGCAACAAAGGAGAAGAAATTAGTCATACACACACGAGATGCAAATTGCAGCCTCTTAATGACTCTCGAGATATCACGACGTCGCATTCGTCGTCGGGATTAACGAGAGAAGCGGAGCGCGCACTGTTGCTCGATGAAGCTTATTTTTATTAATTGGATTCCATTGTTTCCGATACGTTTTCGAAGAGTCGCCTCGAGAATAGAACGAGATTTAATAACCAGATCGATAACGAGATTAGAAACAGAGAGAAGTCGAAAATAGACGGTCAAACGGGAATATCCTACTTGCTACGTTATTAGCTGATGAGAGATATACTCTCTCACACAAATTGACTCATACTCAAATGGACTCTCCATTTTCGTGTGCACGTGGTAAAAAGCGAGGCAGCGAGGACCCAGTGACGACAGTGTGGGTCGTTAATCCGCGTCGTCTGCTTGATCGCCTTTTTTCTGGCTTGCTGCAGGTACCGTCACGTACAAATTCTTATCTCCGCCTCCAGAGCGGTTGAAATTCAAGATCAATAATATAACCGGCGAGATCACGACGACCGAGTACATGGACAGGGATGAGCCTTTCAGAGAGAGGGAGTTCTATCTCACGGTACTCGCCACCGACAACGGCAAGCCGGAGCTGCACAACATATGCAGATTTAAGGTTACCATCACAGACATCAACGACAATGAACCCATCTTCGACAAAGTGGTACGTAACTCATTTAAGGGGGGAACCTCCTTTACACGGTCGAAAAATATATGATTTTCACGAATTTTTTTTCTCGGGTATAATAACTTGAAACGTTTTGAAATTTTTATCACAATTTAATACACAATCAAAAAGTACACAGGAATTTTTTCAAAAAAAAAAAAGATGTTTACTATAAAAACGGACGCCATATTAATATCGCTTCGCTTATGGAGTGTCTCCGCTGTGTACATACACTGTAGCGTCCTTAAGGGGGGAAATCCAATTAGAACGAGGAAAAATAAGCTATTTTCAAGAATTTTTTTGTAGGAGAAAGAATTTTTCTATATTTTTCAAACTTAAACATTTATTTATATATGTTTTGGACTGTCCATACGTATTTTTTTTTTCCAAAAATATTTAAAAATGGCGGACATATGAAGCATCCCATTTGGCAGGTACGCGTGCGAGTTGCTCAGCTGCTGGACAAATGGCGTCCGTGATATTGATCCTATAACAGGCAGCGAAAAAATTCTTATTATTTATACCCATAATTCGTAATTGAACCTAAAAAAATTGAAAAAAGTCAAAAATTTTGAATATGAAACGCTTATGAAAATAAATTTCCATTTTTTGACGTTTTCTCTGCACAATTTTTGCAATAAATAA